AAAATCTTCCACTGTTGGAAACGGCAATATATTGGCGGCCCGTTGGCTCCATTCATATTGTTTGGAAGGAGGCAACTTTCCCACCAAACTTTCCAACAGTGTAGGATTCATTAAGTGGTGTCCGCACCTGGCGGACTTGAAGAAAGCGACGATATTTCTGACCCTGTTTGAAAATTTCAATACTTGTTCGAGCTGACTCTCATTTATGGACGGAAAACGTTGCACCTTTTGCAGCTGTGACTTAATGAGTAGCTCCGGACGACCAAAGTTAAACTCCAACTCTTTTATCACTTTTGGTACGTCCTCCGGATAAATCAGAAGTGAAGTAACAGCACGTTTAGCGGCGCCTTGTAAAGCTTTATGCAGGCGCATTAGGTTTTGTCTATGGCTATACTGAAACTCATGTGTAGTGTCGTTGTAGTTGGCCAAAAATAACGGTCAATCCTCCGGATTTCCATCGAAGGACGGCAATGGAAACAATTTAGCGGCGGAATTGTCCATGAAAGTCAAGGCGGCTGTGTTTATCGTCGGAGTTTGCATCAAACGTGGCGGCATTCGCGTTGATGTAAATTGCGGCTGAGATTCAGTTGCCGCCGGCGCTTGCGTCGACGTACGCATAGGCGGCGCGGCGTTGTCGGATACGGCAGCGTTGGCAAAGCTGTCGCCGACTTGTGGCCTACTACGCAAAGTGTCAATTCTCAATTCGGCAACACATTCCCGAAGTGAGGTTATGCTAGAAACCAGCAATGCAATCTGGTCACATGGAATGGCAACTTGTTGCACTTCTAATGAATTTTCCGATTGTTCCATGTCGTTTACTGTAGAACTGTACTCTGACTCGCAAATGGATTCCGAACTGCTTCCAATATTTTCAGCTTGGGATTGTGCACCGCAAACCGCTTCTGTGTTATTTCGAATTTCCTTTGCTTTGGCTCTAGTCAGCATTGGATGCAGCAAATTTACGCAGGAAAAGCAAATTTTAAACTATGTCGTCAATATGATCAAAACGACGTTAATTTGTTTTAATAAAATGTATTTATTAATTAAAAGGCGTGGTAAAATATACTCCAATGTTGGCTCGTTAAAATTTGGTATCTTTTCCAAGCGTTGGTTTTACGACGAATGACTCGAAGCTTTGCGAAATAGCAAAATTCCAATCGCAATGTTCGAAAAAGTATACATACATATAAACCAGCATATAAACGGTTTTTAAAGAGAATACAAACTATTAATGTTAGCAAACGATCAAATTGTATACAGAAATTTTGGGATACATAAATACATAAGGTAATCTTCGAAAATGAGAGGATTGAGAGGATTCGAAATTAGATGCATAAAGCAATATTAATAAATACATAAAGCAATCTTCGAAAATGAGAGGATTGAGAGGATTCGAAATTAGATACATAAATGACTGATAGAACATCTGTTTTAACTTATTTGCTATCAGAGTTGTATTTTGATGCTGGTGGTGGTTTTCACGCACCTTGTAATGGGGGTATTCAGTAATCTCGCCAACACATGCATCAGACCCCAACTTTTTTAATAAAATAATTTGGAGCGATGAGTCATCATGCAAACGTGAGGTTATTTTAATTTACATAACCTTCACAGTTGGCAGATAGACAATCCTCACGAAATGAGAGAAGATCGTTCGCAGTACCGGTACAAAATAAATTTATGGTGCGGTATTTTTAATTTTCAGATATTGGGACCTGTGGAGCTGCCGCCAACGCTCAACTCTCACAGGTATTTAGAGTTCCTTCAGGAACGGCTTCCAACTCTTTTGGAAGATGTACCCTTAAACCTGCGGAGAAGACTATGGCTGCAAAATGACGGGTGCCCTGCTCACTACGGGCGTGAAGTAAGAGCTCATTTAAACGAAACTTATCCTCGCCGATGAATTGGACGATACGGACCAATCACATGGCCTGCTCGATCGCCAGACCTGAATCTATTCGAGTTTTTCTACTGGGGCTGTCTTAAGGACAAAATTTATTCAAAAGCAATTCAAAACGACTAGCATTTGCGGGAACAAATAAATGGAGCTGCTGCTGAGATAGCCCAGTTGAGTTTAAGATCTCTAAAAGCGTCCTTTCTTAAAAGGTGCCGAGCTTGTATTAGAGTAGAAGGTCGCCAATTTGAGCATATTTTATCGATAAATGAATAAATATTTCTGCAAACAACTCATGTATGTTTTATTTCACGTGAACCCATCCTTCACAAAAAATATTGATAGATATAGCCCTTGTTATAGACTTTAGTCCGAATTCCGGTAAGTAACACAAAATAATGTCAGGAGCAGGTAATAATGTACCTTTGTACTATTTAGCATGTCATTTGACGGTAACAAGAGCAAATTCAATTTAAATCTATTTAATACATTCTAGCGTGTCTCAGTCCTTTACCCACAAAAGCGGCTATAATTTTTTTTTTCTATTCGAAACAGTAAGTGTGGCACCTTTCTGAAATCTTTATTAAATGAGCAATTTTTGTATGTAATGTAAAGTTATAGCTCAGTACATTTTTTTTTCACCCGAGATAGTCAAAGTTGGGGAAGGGAATATCAAAAAGTTAAAAATCCAGAAATAGTCCTAATTTTATGATGGTTCCTTAATATATTTTAACTACATTGCATTTGAGTATAGAGAGGCAACTATCTGGAAGTATTTTACATAAAAAATTTACTAAGTATTGCCCGGTTTGTAGTTGCAGTTAAAGAAAACACATGAAAAGGCACGATTTTTTTTAAATTCGAAAAAATGTTAATATTTCAAAAACGGTGACACTTTTAGCTGAAAATTTTTTGTTTATCAGTGAGCTCACCCCCCCACCTACCTTCCCCTAAAGTTTGGCACGTTACTTCTGGGACACCCTGTATACTTGAGAGTGGCCGATGACGGGCCCAGAGCGCAAACGGCGATCATCACTAGCATTATGCTAGTAATGCCCGCCGTTCCCGCCCTGAGCCCGTCAAACGAGTTTTTACTCCATCGTCATATCCAAATCAGGAGAGCTGTTGCCAAAATTGAGAGGCTGAGTTGTGCTAAATTGCAAGTATTGTTGTATGACTGGTGAGTCGGTTTGATTTAATAAAGAATAAATATTGTCATTCGTGGTAGTGTTGTTGTTTTCACTTGGTGTTGGTGTTATTGTTGAAATTTGATTTTCTTTTTCGTGGTTTTCGCGTGTGGGAAGAATGTGATTTGTCCCATTATTAGAGTTTGGTGCAATGGTAGGGGGGTTGTTTAGAATTGTATTTGATCGAGAAGAGAGACGTTTTTGTCTCAGTTCAATAGCTTTTTCAAGTGTTTCTGTTGGATTGTCGTATACTTTAGCTTGTGATTTTACTTTTTCTTTTGCTGTTTTGTATGTGCATTTTGTTATTGTTTTTATTTTAATGATTTCTGTTCTTTCTTGAAAGGTTGGGCAATTTTTGTTGTTGGCTCTATGGGCCTGATTGCAATTAATGCATTTTGCACATGGTAGGATCGTGAATATTTTCACTGCAAACTTCGCATTTTTCAATATTCTCCTTGCAATGTTTTTTGGTGTGGCCTAATTTGAAGCAATTTTTACATTGGATAGGTGCTGGTATATATGGGTCGACCTTACAGACAAGAAAACCGATCTTTATTTCCTTGGGAATTTCATACCTATTGGAAGATAAAATATGCAGTGAGGTGTTAACAAGCTCACCCTTAACCACTTTTTTAATCTTTTGACAGTCTGTTACTGATTGGTCTCTAAGGCCTTCAACGATGTCTTTATCGGAAAGGGATCTCAATGAAGGTGTAAATATTACACCCTTTACGGTGTTTAATGTTGGATGTAGTTCTGATATTATCGGACAGACACTAACCAGGTTTTTTGCTTTAAGAAATTTGTTGGCTTGTGTGTCGTTTTTAGTGAGCACTAACAAATTCCCGTCACGGGTAAATGAGATTTGTTGCGGCGGTTCAGCACAAATATTTTCGAGTGCTTTTGACACAAGAAATATATCGTAGTTGTTGATTGGCTTTTCCGGCACTGCACTTTTAATTGTTACATATTTGGGGCACTGAACTTTAAATAGGGGAGTTTTCTGACCCAGTAGTGGGAAAGAAGAATTACTATTAATGTTTATATCACTTTTCTTCCGTTTCTGGGTAGGAGATTTATGATTATAATCTCCTGGGTCCAGTAACGCGTAGTAGTTCCCTCCAGAGGAGGTCTCCATCTTACACTAAAGGAAACTCTATACCACTGATTTTAGAATTCCAATAATAAGGTTAATAAAAAAGACCACGTGGGAGTAAAGTGTTACGAAAACACAGAAAAAGTTTAGCAACAGAAAAAACTGCTAATGCGAAAGCGATCGACAATGACTGTTCTCAATGAGCACCGTTTATCGACTGTGAAGAAATTTTTTTTTTTTTTTTTATTGTGCTAATGGTTCTTGTTTAATAATAATAATAATAATAATAACTCAACGAAATCAATTAAAAACAAGGTATATTGGAAAAAAATGTGAACGATTTAGAATTATTTCAACTAGCAATCATAATGCAATTATTTATAACTACTTAAGTTAATTTTTAATTATAGAGAAACACGATTGAGAGAAATAGAGATTGCGCCAATCGCGGTACCGCTAATCCGCTCTTTGTGATTTTGACAGAATCAACTGTGTGCGTGACGTCATCTTGGTGCAATTGTTGATTGTGAGCATACGAAAAAACCAAATAACAATTTTAATATTTGTGCGTTAATGTTTCTGCGTGGTTTTAAACAATTATTGAGACATTACAAAGCAAAATGAAGTGTGCCGTGGCATGGTGTAATAGTGAAAACAAAAGGAAAGCGTGCGATATAAGTTTTTTTTTCGCTTCCTACGGACGCAATTCTGGGGAAAAAGTGGAAGCAGTTCTGCCGGCGAGGAGATGCATTAAACACCAAATGATGCATTAAACACCAAATCGAGCTATGTGTGCATGAAGCACTTTACTAGTGAAGATATTGAAAATAACACACAGTTCGAAATGGGTAACATATTGGCTGCGCTTCTTTATACATTCCGGATAATCCCATTCCGCAGCCGGAATAAACAGAATGCGTTTGAAATATACGTTAACATATCGTCAGGAACGTTTTAAAGAATAAGTAAACAAACAAGTTTATTCCAAACGTTCAGAATGGATAAAGGATTGCAGCCATTGTGTATTTTCATATTAATTACATTACATGGTAGAAAAGTCGTCAAATAAAAGCTGTGGAGTTTATGGTGGTTGGCTACCGTCCACAAATATAAATATGCACTCTGCATGGCTTTTACAATGGGCGCGTTTCTAAGACGTAGCTGTTGTTAAACTGTTGAATGTTTGTCTTAGAAACGCACAGTTGAGTAGTTCCGCTCAGCTCAACAGTTGGCAACTTTCCGCCATTTTTTCAAGCAGAAATTTTTTACGCTACCTGAACTCAACGTGTTGGGCTTAGCCTAAACAGCTCGTAAAGACTTACGCCGCTTGTATTAAATTTAACGCCGCTTTGTTAGGTGGCAGTTGCAAACAAATTTATTCTATTTTATATTACGGATGTGAAAAAGTAACTAAAATATTTTATACTAATACCACGTTTCTAAATATATGTTTTTAAGATGTTTGCTATATAATTATACACCGTTTGATTCATTATAACATTGAACGATTTTTTCAACACAGCGGCAGCTCAGCGTTGGATTTTAAAAACTATCGGCGCAACTATCTCTATTTATTGCAGTTTTATTTGTTTACATTTATCAGCTGTTCATGTGGCAGCATATTCATCAAGCCGTTTCTAAGACGTAATTGTTGGGTCCAACAGTTGCCAGCAGTTTCGTAGCAGTTGAGCTAAACAGCTACGTCTTATGAACGCGCCCAATGGCGAGTCCAAAAATTCACTTTGCTGCACACCTTCCTTTTGGTCTACATGAATTTGCAAACACTGTTAATACATCCATTTTTTCATGTGCTAAAAATCGTACTTACCTAAAGGGCTACATGACCAAAATTATTGCTACGTGTTCCTAATTAATCAATCCTTGTATATTTGTTGATTCTTGCAAAATTGGGGCATGTAACATTAAAATTAACACATTTTTCTGCATTGTTTACATATTTTTATATGCGTTTTGTCATTTCTCTCTCGCCATTGCACCAAGGGGACGTCGCGCAAAAATTACGCTCGAAAATCCTCTCTCATTGGCGCAATCTTGTATTCTATCATTGATAGAGATTGGTATGTAATTGAGGCAGTTCACGTCAAATGTCCCAAGCGCGCTGAGCGGTGAAAAACAAGCTACTTTTCGACTAGGTGGAATTGGACAGCAAACGTGAAAAATAATTCGAAAACTATGATTTCTGTAGATTTTTGTACGGGGTATCCGATGGTACTACGCGTTTTCCAAAATTTTCCCATTTTCATTTTGAAAATTGTGAACGAAAATTTACTTGTAATTTTTCTCAATTATGGTCATTTTTAATATTGTTTTTAGTTATCTCAATCGAAAGATCAAGTGTTTTTACATAGAAATCATTAAAAAACAAAGGGACTTTAGAGGTAATTGTGTTTTGGTTCGTGTCTCCACTACGGGATGCTTTGGTATGTATGTGGCGTCTGTACGTACCTTCATTTAATTTTTTCAAACTTTCAGGAATTAAAGTATAAAAAAAACTAAGAAGGTTTTGTTTCAGGATGTTTAGAATCGTATGCCTTTGTGGGCGTGGCTGCTTCCTGAAATTCGAAAAAGGGCAATTTTTTAAACTACAACTGAGGCCGCACTACTCAGTCCATTTCATTGATGTGGATATCAGTAGAAGAGCCTTCAACCAAGCTATCTAGCGCTATCTTTTGTGTTTATAAAATATAAATGTGTCATAACGTTATCGCCTGAAAACTAAAAATCGGGCTGCTGAAAATATACATTTTGGGCATTTTCTCAAAAACTGGTCAGTCGATTTTATTCTAAGTTTCCAAAAATCTAGCCCAAAACCTTAGCTTTCATCTGGTATATAGCTTATATTTCGTACGTTTCAAAGGCAGTTAAAAAGTGCGTATAATTTTCGTCACGAAATTGATATCATAAATTTTGTGTTTCTAGTTTAGCTTTCGTCACCCGAAAATTTTACCTCAAAGAGGTGTTTTATTTGATAGATTCAATAGTATAGAACATTGCCTTCGTCTCAAACGCGTGCATTGATTGTCGTTGTCTTTGAAGTTGAGTATCAGCGAATACAGAAAATCTAGAAACAGCTATGCACAAAAGCATTGTGCACTGTGGAAAAAAAACTATAGTGTAAAGAGTACAATGAAAATACTGTAAAAAGCAAGGCGAATTTATATAAGGTGGTGTTGTTTCATCAGCTGTGAGTATCAGTTGTATCACGTGAGAGTGTTTGTATTTTCTGTCGCCCTTTTTCATTCGGGGAAGAATAGCTGAAATTTGACAATGGCCCGCTAAAACCAAAACAAAATACTTGTATAATTACTATAAATACTAAGATAATTGTTGTATTTGTTCAATCGATACCATCTTATAAAGGGTGAACACACCAAAACTGCGACACTTAGAAATTACTACCAGAAACAAACTAGAAGGCTTTGAAATTATTTGTTTTTGTATTATATAACTTGGAAGTTTAGATGTTATTAAAATGTCAAAATATTAGTTATTATTTGCTCCATATGCAAGTGATCGGTATTTTCATCGCACATGCGCCATCATGTTCTGCACGACTGCATCATCGACATTACGCGATGCGCACAACTACTTTGTTTTGCACTCTTCAATAATTTTCACTCTTTCACCTGTTTTCTTCAAGATTCCTTTGACAATTGACCCATATTCCCCAATAGGACGTGGCTCTGGGCTATTGGATGGATTGCAGTCGTGAGGTACAAAATTGATGTTATTTGCATTATACCACGGCAATGTGTCCTTGGCATAGTGGCAGGTTGCCATGTCCGCCTAGAACGATGGCCTACTCCTTATCTGTTGATAAATGACAGAAGACGCCTTTTGAGGCACTCATCCCGATAAACTTGATCATTCATTGTCCCGGATGGGAAAAAAGGGCAGCTCTTACGGCCGCAGGAACAAATAGCTTGCCAAACCATGTGGTTTTTGGAAATTTGGACTTCATTTTCAGCTTACAACTTTCAGGGGCTTCTTGACGACTTGTAGCAGTATAAAAATCTTGACCTGCAATATATTTTGAATTCTTATAGCAGTAGGTTTCGCAGTCCATAACAATGCAGTTGTATTTTTTAATTTAGTATTCATACAACTTCCGAATGCGGGATTTCGCTGTAACATTCTACTTTGCGCCTCGGTCTGGTGCTGTTTGAGCTGTAGAACATCTCAATGAAGCTTTCCGCTTTACCTTTTGTACGAAAAACTGCGATCCCGTACGGATTTTGCAACATAACGCGACAAAATCTTCGGATCTCGCGAAAACGCACTGAGGACCTTCCGAGCACTGTTTTTATCACTTTGACCATGCTAACCCCCGCTCCCTGGTTTTCTCGTAACTGTCAGGCCTTATCTGTACCGATTAAAACCCTGCAAACTGTCGAATAGTGCACTCTTTAATTTTTTAGCAATTTTACGTGTACTTAAGGCCGGATCATTTATAAACTCGTGCAAAATGGTTTGTCTCGTTTCAACTAGGAATCAAATTCAAATGCAATTTCTTCTACGTTCATCTAAGGTCTTGGTCAACTTATGGTATTTGAATTTTAAAATATTGAAATCGTTTTGGGTAAGTTATAAGCTTCCCAAAGTGTCGCAGTTTTGGTGTGTTCACCCTTTATGTATGCGCCTTGGTACAAAGTGTCATTTGCGCTAGCAATCACCGCAATACACAAACAAAATAAGTGTTTATAAAAGCCATAAAATGTTTGCTTTCACTGCTTCGACTTATTGCAACTGCTAAAAATTACTTATTGCTTGTGCTTACGCCTATGAGACAAGACGACAGTCACAGTCGAAGCACAAGCAGAAACTGATCGACGACAAAATGCGCAGTGCTTCTGGCAGTCGTTGGTTTGACAGTTGCAGTCAGGGTTACAACTGACGAAAAAAATACTTACCATCCACATGAAAAAAATCTACCAAAACCTGAGAAATATTTACCAATAACTTTTTTAGATATTTTAATAAAACTAAAGTTTTGTTCTAATATTTTAGTTATATTAATAAAA